AAAGTAGCTTCTGAGACTTCTTATGTACAACCAAACACCTCATGGGGTTTGGTTCCTTGATGGAGAAGTTTAGGGCCATAGTTTCATGAGACATCCCAGTTACTTGGCCTAGTAATGTGCTTAGTGTATCTGTGCTACCTCCTTGCTTGTTCCATAGTGCCTGGGTTCTTAAGAGCTTGCAAAGAGCCATCCTTGGCACAAGAGTTGATCTCTGGTCACCTGGAACAACAGACAAAAAGGAGAGTCAGCAATCAGAGGAGGATTGGGCGTGTGTGACTAACTGCTTCCATGAACAACTGCCTCCCTTGCCATGAGACCAGAAGAACTGGATGGTGCCCTGCTACCATGACTAAATGTTTTGATCATAGATTAACCCTAATCAAAAGGAGGGAAATGGAGAACAAATTTCAAATTTTCACAGGCCCTGGGCTTTGAGGAACCCCAGAAAGTAGATGAACTCCTGAAATGATTGCCCTGGAAATCATCTTTGAATCTTAAACCTAAACTAACCCTTTCAGTCTCTCGCTCTCTCATATAAATCATTTTATTGGGGGCTCTTATAACAATCCATAAATCAATTGTTTCAAGCCTATCCCTTCCAGTCTCTTAAAGCTGAAAAGTAGTTCAACTTAACTAGTGAAAAAGATCTGCGTTGAGCATTAGGCTCTTTTAAGCACTATCAGTATGGGATTAAATTGACAACAGCAACTTGAAATATTAAATAGGAACCTCAGGGAGCAGTCTATTTATGTTAGTAAGGAGAGGAGGGCTCAGAAGACTGGGTGAGAAGATTGCGCAATTCCAGGAATGTAATCAGTGTCACTAAAAGGCACATGTAGGGACTATTGAATTGGTATGTTTTGCTGTGTATATTCTCAACAGCAACAAAATAAATAAAATTGGAAGGAAAGCCACAGCAATGCAGATCCACAATGAAAAAAGGAAGCTGCCGGGCTGAGGGTAGGATATTCCCAGAGAAGCCAGGCAATCCTGGCTCATGGGGCCTCGAATATGTTGCCCTGGCTTAGTATTAGCTATAGAATCCCTGCTATTAAATGTACCTGGGTGCTGTCTGTGCTAACTAGAATTTCTGGAGAACTATAGGTTGCTATAGTATAGCACTTGCCCCAGAGAGCCTGTGATGAGCTTCCTTTTAGCCAGGGGACAGGTGCCAAGCAAAATACAAAGTCTGAGGTCTCCCCTCTGCGAGTCATCACAGGGCATGATTCTCCGTCCTCACCCCCAGTCCACCCCACTGTCAGACTCCCATCCGTAACCATTCTGCCATAACCATAGCCGTAACTGCCTGGGACCAGTTACCGTCGAGGCTTGTTTTTCTAATTAAGTTACATGCTCATGAAATGTTGCTTAACTTGATTAAAGAGAAAAGCTCTTTATTGGTGTTGGCCTCCTCTCTCTTCAGTGCAACTGGCTAATTGACATTTTTTTTATTATAGAAAGGAAGTGGAGCTATTCTGAATACCGTAAAAACGAAAGCAAACCCAGCCATGAAGACTGTCTATAAGTTTGTAAGTACGGGTCTTGGTGTCAGGACCCAAACAAAATGCCCCTTGGCATCGTAAGATGTTTAAGTGCTCGTGTCTTTGAAGACCCTGGACAGCACAGGCAGGTCCCAAAGCCCTCAGTGCTCAGGGAAGTTTTGAGCAGAGATACCTGAATGACTAGTTCAATGCCATGTTTAGTTTAAGGTGCTACAGCTCACAGTCCTGTGATAGAGAAGATAGAGGGACGGGAGGTTACTGGGTTGGGCTTTTAGAATGTAGACTGGGTGGTTGGGACTCAGGCTGCCCCAGGACTGCAGTCCTGTGACAGTACCAAGCCTGGTCCTGTCGGGTGTTCACACAAACCTTTCCTTTGCCACCTGGATCCCATGATCGTGTCACATGGAGTCAGCTGCTTTGCAGATCCTGAAAGAATGCCCATGTTGGGACACACCCACCATCTTTCCTCCCCAGTCCCCCCTCAACCTCTCATCGCTGCCCTGGAGGAAGTGGCGTTGCTTGTGGGACTAGCACCCAAGCAGAATGAAAGTGTGGAAGTGCCTCAGGTCCTGACGTCCCCCGCCTTTTCAAAGTATCTTCTCTGGCAATTTCTCGGACTTGCTCATTGACCCTGTACCAATTAAATAGGTGGTTTGGTTTTATTTCCATTTTTAAATTTTTTGTTCATCCTTTCTGGGCTGGAATTGCCTTTATCTCCATGGGGTGAGCGGCTGCCGATTGGACCACAATGGGCGCACAAGCAATGGGAAAGAAAAGCCAAGGGGTTCTGCCCAGGTGGGAGCCGGGAAGTGGCACCAGCAAAGCCCGGGCCTGCTTCTGCTCAGAGCGTTCGGCCTGGACAGAAAATTGGCCTGGAGGCCCTGACCTGGTGAAATGCAATGGATAGTCCAAACCTGGCAGCCAGAAAGGGCTGTTGTTCTATTTTGATTGGTGGCTGCCGCCAGGCTGCCACATGAATAGTGACACGGGGCAGGCGGAGAGGACCCAGGGGACCATGCCATCGAAATGCAGAACATAGACTCTCTGCAGCCCCTTGGAGGGATTTTCTTTTTTAACTTTTTAACCTTCTAACGTTGTGTTTGTTTTCACAGCCATTATGTTTCCAACTTGATGGCCCCGTTTTCCCTTCCTCCTTCTAGTAATCAGAGGCGGCGCTCCACGGCAGACTGAAATCAAGCGTAGTCCCTGCTGGAAACAGAAAGGGAATCTTAACTTAAATTAATTTTTCATGCAGGCAAAAGACCATGCAAAAATGGGAATAAAAGAGGTGAAAAACCGCTTGAAGCAAAAGGTACTTGAAGTTCTTATTCAAAATGTATAAGCACCGTGTATGAAATGCGTGGCCACAAAAAAAAAAAAAGTATAATGTGATCAATAGAGGCCTGTTTGATACAGTGTTGTTAGCACACTTCAAAATGCATTACCAGCTGTCTGGGAGTTTTCACACTGTTATAAATATTCACAGACAAAAAACTGTCTTCAAATAACAATAAGACTGATTTAAACCCACAAAGGCGAGCAAGTTTAGAATTGGCGCTGTTAACCACTGGCGATCTCTCCCTTGCCAACCCTACCTGACCGGGCCTGGGGTACACGGGGGTCTAGGGAAACTGGCACGGCCTCCCCAGCCTGGAAACACCCCCTCCCACTGCTGACCTCAGCCCCATGCAGGCGGAAACCAAGTCCAGGGATGTCCCCAGGGCAGTGGCTCTGCTGACTCTGTCATGCTCATGGACAGCATGCAGATACCAGGCACAAAGGGTTGGGCTGCGGGAAGACCCCTCACAGGATGGATTAAATAAGAGGACCCCAGTAGTTGGTTTTGTTTTCTGTTTTTTTCCAACAGTTTTATTGGCGTATGCTCCACATATCACAGTTCAGTCACTTCAAGAAGAGTTGTACTATCATCACCAGTTTTAGTAGTTGGTTTTTGAGGCTCTGTGAGAGAGAGTGGAAGAGGCTCTCATGGTCTGCGTGGCCCATCAGTAAAGTATTTCAAGAATTTTATGGAATCGTCTGGCAAGATTCCCCTGACCTGGTCCCTGACAAGTGTACAGGAAGGTGTGACCATAATAGGAAGGGCATTTTAAAATATTAGTAGGGAGTAAGGTGGTCGTCGTCATGACCCTCAGCACCTTCCTTTTAAGCACTTGCTTGCTCTGCATGGTTCTGCCTAGGAGCTTTCCCATTTGCGCCTTAGCATGACCCTGTGGGGTACTAATTCCATTTTATGAGTGTAGTTCCGAGGGGTGAAACTGCCTGCCCCGGCTCACAGTGCGAGAGCTCAAAGAACCGGGGTTCCATCCATGCCCAGCGATTCCCAGGCTCCGCGTGTGCTCTCACTGCCAGGTTGCCTGCTGCCTTCCTAAAATGAGTGTTGATATTTTCTCAAAAGTTGTTTGGGGTCACTTACTTTGCTTTCCTTACACACAACCCACCCCACTCCACCCCCAGGTATACCACTCTAATAAAGACCTTTGTCTACCTCAACAGTTTAAAAATGTTTTAATTGAAACCAGTTTCAATGTTAAGTCCAAAAGACCTTCTAATTAACTTGAAATGGTCAAAGGAATTGATGCCTTTCTTTTAATGGGAAAATAATTTGCTCTGACTAAGCATTTCCGTTCTGAGTTTTAGCTGAGAGTGAGTTTTTAACAGCTAAGAGTCAAGTCCGGCAGTAACCCTCTAAAGTCAGTCCAGGCAGACCTTAGCTGTCACCTGATGCGCTGCCACCAGAGACCGGCAGCTGGGCTGCTTTTCTTGGACATCATTAGTCCCTAAATGGACCTTTTCAGCGCTGAGCCTAGTCTCTTGTGGCAGAATTTGATTACTGGCATAAATGGAGTTGGGGTGGGGCAGTAGATTTTCTTCCCAAACTTTGTACCTTTTGATCCTCAGCTCTGGCTGGTGTTAGATATTACCTGAAGCAGCCACGGGGGGCACACACCCTACACTAGTCAGGCTTGCTTTCTGCAGACCATCAAGCCAAAGGTATCTCCTTACCTTCCACTTCCAGATTCATTTGGCCTTAAGAAAGTCCTGCCTTTTACATATACCTACATACTCAAGTATAAGCTGGCCCGAATATCCTCCGAGGGACCTAATTTTACCATTAAAAATGTGCTGGGAAAACTCGGCTTATACTCGAGTACATACAGTAACAACGCTGCAAATCACCAGTGACACTCAGGGTTCATCATGTGGCGGTTCAAAGGGTCATGTAAACAGTCGCCACCACTTTCCTTCCACGCCATCGCCCTTTCCTTGATAATATCTAAGGCCGATCCCCCCCTCCCCTTCCCTCCAGTTCCCGCTGCCAGCCTTTTCAAGAATAGCTTCAGGAGATAATGTTCTGTAAAGAGTGTCAGTACATTTCAGGGGACACGAACGGCGAAGGCATTTTATAGAAATGTGGCTTGTCACCACTGGACTGTTGACAGATCTATTAGTGCACCCTTTTCGATTTTCACTTTTCGCCCTTGGTCTTACAGATTTCATGCCGACTTGATGCTTTGCAGTTGATGGGGAAGAGCTATTTTGTCGCTGAAACCCTCGCATTGTTCCGCATGTACAGGACGTGGGTCTGGCGCGGTGCTCTCTGGCTCCCTTTCTCGAGCTAATTTAAGATTTGCCTTCCCCTGACCTCGCTCACCGCAGTAGAAAACATTTCCTTTGCTCTTTCTGCCCCCTCCCCCTGGCCCCTCCCCTTCACATGTGCGGGTTCCCAGACGCCGCTGGCTGATGTAGACATCTCAAGTCTGCTTTCTGCTCTGAAACTCAGGCAGTTCCCAACAAAGATCCGATTTTCAAATGGCTTGGGTTGCCACCTGGCCTCCTCTAACTCTGCATAGCAATGGTGACCCCCGCACATATAATCAAGAAGTCAGTCTTGCCCTCCTCACTCCCGCCTTGGGTTTGAATTGCAAATAGCAAATGTGGTGCCGACCTGCAGAGAGGTCACCATGGTGTGTGGAGGGTCCGTCTCTGATATGACTGAGCAGGGCCCCCTTGCCATCCCTTGTTCATTTGTGCTGCAGATTTTCAAAGCATCTGAAATAGGAGCTTTCAGAGTATCTGTGTAACCATTGGCAAATAATCGTTAATAGATACTGTCGTGTGGCTTTATTCCAGGCCTGCACGGCTTCAGTCTAAGAGCCAGGGGGGAAAAGAAAGAAGGATAGATAATATATCTCTGGGGAAACAGAGCAAGGTGGTCAAGTTTTTCTGTAGCTTGGCTTCCTTTGAAGTCTGACTCGCTCAAAATTAGGAAGAAGACAGAATGGCCAAGATGCCATCCGGCCGCCACTTTCCGAAGGGAGAATGTAGTACTTGCCTCCAGAGCGCCTCCCTGCCACACCTGGCCCACACAAGAATGCTGCATGGCTGGGTTTGTGGCTCTCCACAACACGCATTCCCACTGCAGTGCCCTGCAAAGCTGGCATCACAGTGCCCGGCTTTAAAAACAGTTCTCTTATACACCCTTACACATGTGCACACACATGCCTCATTACTTTGCAGGGGGCACTCAGATACTCACCTATGGATGCACCATTTTGTCTTTTGAGGTGTCCCTGGGTGGGGTGGGGGTGTCTATTTTGTTCCTCAGTGTCAAAATCACTTCATCAAATGGCCCATTTGCCAGACTGCTTCTTTATGTTTCTAAATCTTTGCCCTCTCAAAAACAAATGTAGCTCGTTGACTTCGAAGCCCCCCCTGTGACTGAAAGGAGCGAATTCACAGGTAGATTCACAGAGGCTTGGTTTTCTGGTCAAGCATCCCCACCCCCTATGTCGAAGGGAGTGAGTAAGCATGTGAGGGGTGGGGAGATATAGGTGGACTCTCGCCCAACAGACATTTTCACACCTTAACCACACAACTGTCAGCTCCCTGTCTCCAGACACATTAAAATGTCTGTCAGCCTCAATCCCAGCAATTCCCACTTTGGATACTATTTTGATATCAATATTCATATTTTAATTTGCATTGGCTGTGGTGTGAGGTAGTCTAGGAAAAGAAGGGGCCTGGTAGGAATCAGAGAATGGACGCATTCTTCCCTGAGCTCAGCCAGACAGAGGTGGTAAGGCCTCAGCCTGAGACCCTTGGGGTTGGGCATCTTTAAATTCTCCCCCACTACCAAAAAAGCATGATCTGGTTTTTAGGCTTCTAAGATAGAGCACCTGGGTTTAATACTAGGAATGTAGGATGCTAGCTGTGTGACCTTGGGGAAGTTACTAAGACTCTCTGAACCTCGCTTTCCTTAACTTTAAATGAGAGGAAGTATTGATTTCTCTGGACTGTTATGAAGATTAAGGAGATGACAGGTTTGAACACAATGCCTAGAACCTGCTCAATACTGGAGTTTCCATCTGTCTCTTGTCTTTCCTCCCACATCTGGAGCAGCAAGTACACCCCCATGCATGAGTGGTGTGGAGTCACCTCCTTTTAGGTTGTCCACACAGCCATCAAAGCAGGCTTTCTAGAACACTCCCACTGGCCACGCCCTGGCTGAGACCTTTCGAATTTTTCCACTCCCTGGCCAAGGGTACCTGCCCCCAGCCACTAGACCATCTGCCATTCCTAAACAGACTCTGCCCTCTACCTCCTCCAGGCGGGAGTGCTCCGCTCTCAGGTGGCTGCCTGCTGCAGTCCCAGCCTCAGCTCCTTCCATGTCCAGTCCCAACCTCACTCATCCCAAGAGCCCTTCTGATGACCTTAATCTCTCCCTCAACTGGTCTCCCAAGACCTGGGTTCCTCACCCCCAGGGCTGTTCGTGCCTAAGGGATTACATGCCGTGCCTGTCTTCTCCACAGAGGGGTGCAGGTCGGATCTCTCACACATGATTCCAGGACCTGAAATAGTAATCACACAGGGTAGAGACAGGGCTTGTTTGCTGCCTCCTTTGCTTTACTGAGAAATGGGAGCTGCTTGGACCCCGGAGCTCCAAGCCAGGCAGCAGAGCTCCTAAGGGAGGCTGGCTGCTCTGTGACCGGCCGCTTAGTATCATATCTGCTTCGTTTGTGAGCCATAGGAAAAGAACATGTTTACCCTGTTGTCAGCTTCATGTTTTGTTCTTTTTTTAGTGACATATAGAAGGTGGTGGTTGGTTTTTTGGGTTTTTGATTTTGCTTTGTTTTGTTTCCTCTTCATATTTGCAAACTAAAAACGTGTGTATTGAGAATGACAAAGCTCAAACAAATAAAAATATATATATAGTTGATCTTTAAACAGCTCGGGTACTAGGGGCAATGACACCTTCCCCGCCCCACTGTGCAGTTGGAAAGCCATATATAA